TAATACACGTAATGTGTGTGCATGTGCGTATAGGCCAGAAGCGGGAGGGGGAGGGAGGAGGGAGGGGGGAATGGATGGAGAGACACTATTCCTTGACCTAGGCGATCAGCTCATCTCAAGCGTCATCTAGACGCGGCAACAAAAACCTTGCTTACAATTTGCCGATACAAATTTACGAGCGACACTATATTACTTTGTTCTCATTTATGACCTAAGTCAGCCAAGGAACCCGTCAGAAACATAAAATTATTCCAGTTGAACTACACAGGTTGCTGACACCGCAGTGACGTAAAGATCATCGATCAACGAAAAAGATGAAATTTCACTGTTTTGTAACGAACATTTGATATGTCGGAATCTATAGTTTCATTTCTACCCACTGATTGGTTGTCATTGTCGGAGTGGATTGCTTATAACAGAATTCTCACTTGCTCAGCGGCGGCTCGAGGCACTGTAAATGAAAGTTTCTTGGACAGTTGTCACACTTGGCCATTTTTCCTGTTGCCCCTCCGCACATACAGCAGTTGTCGCTTCCAGCAGCCTGAAATTAAATACGACAGTTAGAACTTCATGTACAACAGCTGTCCATAAAATTGCGGTAGAAAATGAACCAATCATTTTCCCAAACGCATTTTAGGCCAACAAACGCTCCCTAGTTCTTCGTGGAAAGTCTTGCTGCAATCCTGGACATGTTAAGAAGTGGGAGACTGGTGAGAGAAAACTATAGTGGGAGAAATAGTGCAAGAAAACGGACATCTTGCCTTTGTAAGCACCATGCCCTCTCCGTCCCCTTGACTCTGAACCAAACATGGCGTCACAAAGAATGATCACGCGCTTAAAACACTGATTCATTCTCCCCTAAAAAAAACTCCTGCATTGCTGCCTAGGCACGCAAATGAACACAGCGAGATAAAGAAGGTGCTGTTCACATTCTCGTGAAAGTTTAATGCTCCATATTTTGTTACCTTTTTTCTGATAGGGTGCGCATGTTACGGAGAGATACGAAGCGAAAATTGTGAGGAAAGCGGAGGAAGGTAAGAGTACGAAGAGCACACAAGAAGCCTCACGCTAAACCGGTCGCGCCTCGCGTTCGCATCGCGCGGAAAGAGACTGAACAGTAAGGCATACTTACCAGAACTATACAGTCAGTGCAGTACCAGTCTCCTTCGGGTATCGACGAGAGCTTAGGCTGGGAAAAAAAAAAGAAAAGGACAACTTTAGAATTTTCATACTTCAGTAAAAGGATATGCGTCAATCATGGTAGGGTTGCAGATTGCATTGAAAGTGAAAATTTGAGCAAGGACTAAGTCTCTGAGGATCAACGTGAGAAGTGAAAATATGTAACCTAACATTTCAACTTACAGTTCATATGACATCATATATCAGAGATCTTACGGTAGAATTCTCTTAGAGTATAACGGGCTGTTAATGTCACGAACTCACCATGCAGCAGTAGGTGTGGTATCCTCTGTCGCATCCGTCACACAACAGCAGTAATTCCTCGTTGTCGCCTTTGCGACATATCTGACAGAACTATTCAAAAAAGTAGTACAGATCTATTGTCAACACCCGGAAATTACGCTTTAAGACCAACCACGATTGACTCGTACAACTTGAGTCTCGCACACAGCAAGACCCATCCCAGTAAAACCCGACTTTTTTTAAGAACCAGTAAATAAGAACAGTGGCAATGTACAACGGAAGATTTCCGCAAAAGCTTCACATCTCAAAGAGCCATGCGGCGGAGTGCAGCCCGCCCGTTGAATTGACCAATCACAGCGCGCGTAATGACTGCTTAGTCAGTTACTAATACAAACTATCACTTTTTCTTAACGAAGACGGTGATATCATGCATTCTATAACACCCAAACCCACCCCCCTTGGCTACACCCAGGGCTTCCTCATCTTTGTCAAATGTCAAGCACGCATGGACTCCATCAAACCCATCCCATTTACTTACCACCTTCATGATGGACTTCTCCCAAGCCACACAGTCATACAACATATTCAGACACATGGCCAACTGAGAAGCGGATTGTGATGTCACCACTGCATTGCGCCAGATCTTCAGTGCCGGGGTCATTATCTCCTCCTCAGTAATGCTACAACAAACAATCCTTGATTTAGCTTTTCTTTGCTATGTGATTGGTTCCGCAAACTTGCGCCAGTTTATCAACCAATCAAATTCAAACTAAAACATAAGTGATAACGCAGTGTTTTGCCAATCGCAGTACTTTGATGTGCAATTTCTTAGAGCAACGTGAGGAAGATAATTTGGCAAGTTATGATTTTTTCGGATTATTCTCGACTTGTAAATATAACTTGACAGCATATAAATGCAGTCTGTGACTTACTCTGACTTCTCAGCTTCTTTAGGCTGACCATCCTCTACAAAGGCAAGAGACTCTTGTTAGAATGATAAAAAAAAAAAGGTTGAGAAAAATGTTATTTTTTTCTACCAGGGTTTACCTGAAGAGGCATTAAAATGAACAGCAAAAAAAATTAAAATAAAAACTAAATATATAAACATAGAAATGAGAAAAAGAGAGAAAGAAAATTCCTCACCTGAGGGCACTTCTCCTGGAGCAGCTGCAGTTCCAATGTTTGTGGGGATGTGGAGTTTGCTGAAAAGAAGCATTTGAAGCGTAGTGTTTACATTTTTAGTTATGGAGACATTGCGTGTCAATTACCCGAAGCATAGGGGGAATAATCGTGCTCCAAAATGGCGTTTTTACCACTGATTAGATTTGTTTCGGGTTTATCTGTTGATGCGAGTTCATCTGCGTCAGAAAGTTTCAGCGTGACCGTCTACATCAAGATGAAAACACTGAGACAATTTTATTAATTGCTGGCTTTCACAGAAAAAAAAAATTAACAAAAATTCTCCTTGAGGGACGATTGCAAGTTTTTCTTCGATAAAGCATTACCTGAGTTTTGAACTTTGAATTCATCAAATTTTCAGAGAAGATAAAAGACTACTGAAATGCGGGAACAACTTACTCATTCCTCAACGGATGCTTCAGATAACGTCTCTCTACGGCCTGTTCTAATGCAAGGAGTCTTGTTATGGCAATAGCTAACGGACTTTGGTTTTCTTCACAGTCCGAATTCGATTCTGGAAAGCAACATAGATATTATATACGCAAACCTTTTGAAACATTATAGCATTTACCCCTTTAACTCCAGAGATCTCATTAGTAAGTCTCCTTACTGTCTACCACACAGTTTTTCTTTTGATGTTAGTTTGGAGAATTTGGTTTTGGATCAACTAGTTATCCCCTATTTGATGGTTTTCTTTTTTCTTGTCACTTGTCTGCTTGATATTGTATTGATAGTGTAAGGAGAAATTCTGTCTTGGTCACTCATGGGAGTTTAAGGGTTAAGAAATTTCCACTTGAGTGTCGAAAGAAATCCTGGACCGCTTGAATTGCTTTACTTCGCTGTGATTGGTTCACAAAACGCGCAGCACTTTGTCAACCAATCAGATTTAAATCTACCGATGACGATTTGGTCACCCGCGTTTTCCCGCGCTTTGCACACTGTGCTTGTTTACTTTAAGTTCGTTAAAATACTCTAAATTGTACTCTGTTAAGTTCTTGAGCTTCACAAAGTCTTAAAACTGCGGAATCCATGCTTACCAGAACTTGAGTTATGACTCAGTCCCTTCGATGCTTTGGTAGGCAACCTCCAACCCTACGAAACAACAAGGATATGCAAGACTGATCAGTCGAAAATCTGTAGGGTGCTTCTCCAAACGTCCTTCAGTCGATATAACAAAATTTTCTCCAGAAAGGTTTCAGCGGCCAGCCCAGCAACACCTCTTGGAGAGGCATTAGCCATAAAGAAAATCAAATAGCTAGAAAGAGAGAGGCCCCAGATTGGATACATAAGAAGATCTGTAAACGATTCTTTACCTTGACTTGCAAACTTGCAGTGAACACTTTTTCTTCCATCTCCTCAACTTCTCTCAGAATTGCTTTGTCGACGGCAAACGCTACCTCTGGAAACGTTTTATCCTCGAAGGGAACGTTTTTGTTCTTCTCAGATGTGGTCGATGTTTGTAGCTTCTCATCATCATCATCAGAATCACTCTCAACTTTCGTTATCACAAAAAAAATGGAAAACAAAATTAGATTAAAAAGCAATAGAAGCATTTCTAGTGTTCTGATTGGTTTACTCAACCCCGGTTATCAGTTAATATTCCGAGTCAACTTGTATGGAAATGCATTGCGCCAACTGCTAGGGAGCTGAAAAAAGGCTCTTAATATCCAAACGTTTAAGCTTAAATCAAAAATAATACAACCATTACTTCATTCGCGCTTGTTCGATACGAGACTGGTTTTAGCCAATTCGGCGCTACAAACTTCGTTGGCTACTTACCATCTCAAATCCAACGCTCGCTCATGGAATAACTGTTAATTATACCAGTGATAATTCCACGGTTAGAGCAATTTTCAATTGCGGGTCGAAAGTAATTTTGGATTGCATTGGTTTTCCTTTACTTTGTTTAGTGATTGGTTCAGAAAACTTACACCACTCTCTCAACCAATCAGATGAAAAACTGATGCAAATAACGACCTGGTCGCCCGCGTTTTCCCGCGCTTTAATTGCTATTACTTTCAGTTCTTGTTTTTAAAGTGACGTCACTCACCTCGGTCGCCCTTTGTGCATGAGCTGTTGGCATACTCTGAATACTTCTGGAAATTCTTCTGGAGAATCTTTTCTCTTATTCCTCTGCAAGGGAATCAAAACCAGGCATTGGCTATACAACCAACCAAAAAAAAAAAAAGCTAGTTTACAAAGATTCGGTGCTGAACGTGAAAGGATTTTGCTTTTCACTCGTGGTGGAAGGGTAATTCAAGCTCGTGGCTTTTCCGTTGCAGATAAAAAGACAAGTCAGAAACGTGAAGTATAAAGAAATTGTTTCTTTACCTCGAGTGTAGAATTTTTACAATCTCCTTCACTTGGGCAGGGTCTGTTATCCTCCACCAACCATGCTGTAACTCTGAGAACATTGATATATAGCAAACAGTTAGAAGAACTGATACATGTACGTACAATTTGGGATTAAAAGGGTTAACTCCCAGAAGGAAAAGATCTTCTTGCCTAGACGTCCTTCAGTGTAACAATAGCTCTCAACAAGACTCGAGACGGCGACTTTTTCATTAAAGTTGATCAATTTAGTTTCGAGACATTTCCACTCAAAAATAAAGTTTTAAACAGTAATGCTCGTTCTTGAGGAAACACAGCTAGATAATAGATCTTAAGATTAATCACCAGAAACTTTCTTGTGACAAGGCAAGGCCGACATTAACCCTTAACTTCCGGAAGTGATTAACATGTAGCTTCTCCCTACAACATCCATACATTGTCCAGAAGACAGGTAATGAGAATACTCGAACTTATCAGGTAGACGTTATCTTGATCTGACACTAAATTCTCGTAACTAATTTACAAGGAAATATATAGCAGCTGGAGGGGAGAGTTAAAAAGCAGATCTTGGAGGTAAAGGTTTAAGACTAACCAGGTGGGATAGGAGCAGGTTCCTGCATAAGAGACTCCAAAACGTTCTTCTTCAACTCTTCAAATGACAGCGACATGGTTGACGCTGACTGAGTACTCAGCGCCAGAGTTGATGTTGGTAAGTCTCCCCCGGGATGCCCATCAAAATACACCAAATTCACAGTCTGGTAGGACGATTTCGGGGGCCTTCCGGGGGGCCTCTTTACAGGTAGTTGAGGAAGGAACTGAATCGTTGTCGTTTGTTTAGCGACGTTTTGTAGTAAGGCGCTACTCTGAGGACTTGCTACACGATTAGCGCTGTCGTAACTCGGATTGGAAATCCTTGGTGGTCGACCCGGAGGACGTTTGAGCGGAGGGGTGCTCACACTCTCTGCATCTCCACCTCTCTTGCTGTAGGTTGGTACAAAGTGCCCACTGCCGGGACTATGAGAGAGAGTCAGCGAAGTCTCATCACAGGGCATGCGCGGTAGCAGTTTAAACCAAGGTCTACTTTTTCCGTCCTGTCCCTGTGTTAGGTTTAAAAGTTTCTGGTGTGATGGATCAGGTTTTGAAGTTGACGCTTCATCTCTAAAGAGGTTTTCAATGCGTTGAATTTCCATAGCATTCCTACTCGCCGCCATCGGAATGTACGTGTTGTTAAGCTTCGGCTGCGCTGTTTGACCTTGCGCATTTCCATTAATGTTATTCACGCCTCCTTTATCGTCACCTGATGAAGCACCGTTCCCAGTATTAGTGTCTGCTTTGGAAATATTCTCTAAAGATGAAGACACGTTCAACGATTTGAGAGGAGATTTGAGTGAAGTGTTTGTGGGGGATTTCAGGCTTGCTTCTCCACCGGTATGATTTCCAACTACACCTTCTTTCCCCTGCTCCAATTTAGGTTCTTGTTTTATTCCATCAACTTGCATACTCTCATTTGGTTCTTCGCCCTCGGACTTTAAATCAAGTACTATTTCTTTTTCTGCTGTGTCCAGTCCTTCGACAAAAACACCTCCTCCATGAGGAAGGATCCAGTAGCGTCTTTTATAACGATCCTGACCCAGGCAGAGAGCTCTCAGGGCATGTGATGAACCAAACAATTTGGAACGGAACTGTGCGTGTTTCTGTAAGTTAATAAGAAAAGCAATTAATTTCATCATTATAGAGTAAGATACTCAATTGGAAAAAGACAAAAACTAATTATGATGGACGATAGAAAAACACCCATGAGAGCCAATGGGAACTCAAATTAAACACAACCAATCTGCCTAAGACGCGGGAAAACGCGGGCCATTAAGTTGTGATTGGTTTAAGTTTTGCATCTGACTGATTGACAGAGCGACGCAGTCTTGGATTACTTTCGACGCCATTGAAAAGTGCTGTTATGTTAAGGAAATTCAGTGGCAGTTTCACACCAGCGTCATCATGATTATCTTTATTACACAGTGCAAGAACACACCTTTTCAAGCTTTTTAAGCCTTCTTTCAAGTTCCTCTTGAGTCGTGGGCTCTGTGGCATCCTACCGAGAAATAGGAAATTTCTTCACATCAGACATTCACCCAGCTATCATTGAAGTGCACTGTACTATTAACAACAAACACTTATTCACGTTCACAATTTCAAAGAAATATTAAAATTTCTACCAAAACAATTAGATTATTCGCCGAGATTTCTATCGCGTTATAGCTGATTCGGGCTTCGTTCTAATCAACGCAATAAAATTCTCGAGTCCAAAACCAAATTGGTAAATATGAGCCGACTCACATCTTCTTCTTCAGACTCCTCACTGGACTGCGCCCCATCACCACCCCCCTCTCCATCGTCGTCATCATCATCTTCCTCGTCCTCTTCCTCTTCTTCTTCTTCTTCCTCTTCTTCATCCTCATTCCCCTGCATGCTGTCGTCTGCTACAGAGTTGCTGTTCTCGGCATCAGGGTCCGCAACAACTCTGGGACGTCCTGGCGGCTTCTTCACTTTCACAACAGGATACTTCTCTGCTTGAATCGCCTTCAATCTAGATACGGAGAAAAATATAACTCTCTAGTAATGTAACCAAAACAGATTACAAATTACAAAACATGAACTCACTTTCTTATTTTGCCTTCTATAACCCACTTGTCACGTCGTAAGTTCGACATGTGCTCAATGCTACTTTCAATTTCCCTAGGAAAAAAAACAGTTCATCAAGATCAACCTTTATCGACTGTTTGAGGATTAGAGGAATCAGCAGAGACCAGCAACCGAGCAACGTTAGCCTACGAGCAGGCCCTCAAAATAAGGCCGCAAGACGCTCGCGAAAAGATTGGACACGAGTCGTGAAGAGGTTTGCCGAGGGTCTAGCACTAATAATCAGTAGCATCCAGACCTCTAATCGACTCGCATCGCTTAAGGCCCCATAATGAGGACCTGGTCACAGGCTAAAGTAGTGTAAATGTAGCAGATTAATAATCGTACTTGCAGATATTTCTGCTACATAGTAGCTCATTGCAAAGATACGCCATAACTCCGGCCTTGTCTGACGTGGTCAGCGCTTGAAAAGGAGTACTAACAAGAGCATCTGCAAGCTGAAAACAAACCAAATCGCAAAATGATTAGGGGAGTAAGTTGATAATGTAAAAATGGCCATCGTAGAGAGTTCCTAACGCCGACGATCCGATCGTTAGCTCTTTGTAAAAGCAAATGTAGGGATTTTGGGTTTTGTGTTCACTTGGTTATATACTGAGAGATGGAGATAACCTTTTGGTGCGAACAAGGTAACGTGAAAAACGCTGCAATCAATTAGTTTGATGAAAAGCGTTCGTTGACGCCCTGGGGATTAGTAGTGCCGATGTGAAAGACACATTTTTGTTACAGAGTCTTGCAGCTTTCCAACACCCTGTGCTGAATTCAACATTAGACTCAAGTTTGACAATGTTGCCTAAACTTGTTTTCAGGAAAACCCTCACCCATACAGTTTCACAATAAACTTTTACACTGTTTTAACTGTTTTCTGCATAGATCAACTTAACTCAAGTCAATAATTCTGATTTTCATACCATGTTTGCCCAAATTTAACAAAAAAGTGAAAACTTTCGATCCTCATCAAAGACAGTCCAACTACTACCACTAAAAATGTCCGAGGATTTCAGAAGATGTTGGCACTAGTGTGTATGGACTAACAGGTACATCATACTCAAAATTGTTAACAGTGTTCCTTACTGGGTGTGGGTCTCCCGCATTTCTTGCCAGTATAAAAAGTCTCAACACTTCAGAGAAATTCGTCTCATTCAGCTCCACTTTGGACAATGCAACTCCTAACACAGTGAAAGACTGTTGACAGATAACAAAAATAATTTTAATAAGGACAGAAAATGATTTTGTTTTTGGAGCATACATCTCAATTAGTACTCAGACAAAAATAAAAACAATCAGTCAAAACTCACATCTGGGCCCTCACAACCTGGATCCTCCAGAGCAGAAATGAGAAGACTCTGACAAAGTGGTACTAGTACATCCTCACTGCTATCATTTAACAAGGAAGACTGCATCTCCCAAAGAGAGGGGATATCTGTAGAATCTGAGCAAAGTGAAACTGTCCAAGTGAACTCTGTATTCAAGCTACTAAATTACATCAACAGTGTACAGAGATTACAAGGTTTTGGTCAATTTTTAGCGCTAGAGAATTTCTTACCTAATTCTAAAGCATCACAAAAGTTGTGTACAAACTCTTGCACCATCAGTAAGTCAGCAAATGCCCCACCAGGTATCTGGAGACCTAACACTCGCATCAACTCTGGCAAAGCCTGCAGGAGAAGGAGAGGAGAGCATTTCAACATAGAAGGAAGGGTAAGAAATGTACATTTACTATTCCACAACTACACTATTGTACCACAAAATGCACAAAACGCCAAGTATTACAAAGTAGAACATAGCAAAAATACAGACGAAAAGTGGAGCAACAAAATGGCCACACTGAATGATCCAAACATGTGCTTCAGATGAGACCTTGGATTATATTGAGCCAAAATACACAAAAATTGAAGCAGACATTTTGCTCATTGCTCACCTTTTTCATTACCTCTGGGAACTTGCAAAATATCTACCCACATCACATGTTAAACCACAAAATAAGGCATCTTTATTTCAAGCTATTAAGCTTTCATCCATTCTTTCTCAAAATGTTCTTTACCATTAATTGCTTTTGTTCAAAAACCAAGCCCAAAATTTGCAAGGTTTTCTTTCTAAATCTCAATGCTTTCAACAATGTTTAACAGGGCAGAACCAAGGATTCTTGTTATATCTGAATTTAGTATATAGCATAACCCACCAAAAAGGTTTCTGTAGCACAGCTGGTAGAAAATCTGAATGTTTGAGAAAATTGTTTCAAATTATTTCAATATACAGCAGTGTATGTCTGGTTACCTTACTGTCCTTCAGCACCATGTCTTCTACTGGCTTCTTCAGTTCACGAGCTAAGATCATTTCTCTTCTCTTTTGTTCCTGAGTTAAAAAAAAAAAAAATCACATGCATTTTTGTTCCAAATCCCGAATCAATATGGTTGTTCTAGACAATCTATTCTCACATTAGAGACATCACAGCTGAACAAACCCCACACACTTGTCTTAATCTGTATTTTCAAAAATAAATCTATCACACAAAGTTACTAAATCTTACAAGCTTCTTCTCTCTCAGTAACTTCTTTTCCATCTTCTTTTCTTCCTTAAGTCTCTCACGTTCCTGAAATCAAACCAGAAAGAGAGGTATTTAATTATAACTATACACAATTTTACAGTTCATTTAAAGAGTTGAGTTTGGTAAGTGATGACGTGTCAATCAGCAGTGATGTTTGTCTGTCTGTCTGTCTGTCTATCTATCTGTTGGTCAGGCTGTCTACATGCTGACTTTCCCTTCTGTACTTCTGCCTGTGCCTTTGTTTAACTGTCCAACTGTGTGACTATGTATGCTGGACTGACTGTCCCTTTTTCTTTTTGTTTGTCTGCCAGCTTATTTGTCTTTCTGCTGATCTGTCTGTCTGAGTGTCTGCCTGTCTCTGTTCATCTGTCTGTCTATGCTAGATTGTTGGTCCCTCTTTGTTTTCACATCTTTCTGTCTGTCTGTCTGTCGATCATTCTGGCTGGGTGCAAACCTGTCCCTCTGTGGTTCTGTCTGTCTCTTGATTAATCTGTTCATCTTTGTGTCTATGCACAACTGCAGCCCCCTCTCCCTTTTTGTCTGTCTGACTGTCTGTCTCTCTGTCAGCACATGTCTGCTTGCATTGCCTATCTGAAGGTCTGCCTGACAGCTGTTCCATGTGTGTCTGAGCACCATATGTTGACCCGTCATTCATGTCTTAGGCATCAATATCAGTTATTAGTTCATATTTTTGTTTGCATTATGTTAATCTAGGCACACCTCTTGTTTCCTTTGGGATTCAATAGCTCTGATCATCATTTGTTGCTGCTTTTTCTGTTCCTTTTCCTGTTGCTTGAGAAGAACTGCTTGTTGACGTTTAAGTTCCCTTTCCTGGGAAAAACAGAAAAATTAGAAATCATTACTTATCATTTGTCTGGTCACACCAGTGATCTCCATCTCCTGCCTGATGGAGACAAGCCAAATGCAGTCAAACAACATGAAGCACATCAAAAGTAGCCACATTGTGAGACAAAAAATAATCCTTCATTACCAATGTTTTCTAGTGAGAGACCCAGTAGCCTAAAGTTTAGTGTGCTGGACTAAAGTTTAGTGTGCTGGGTCAAGAGGTCTCGGTTCAAGGTCAATGGGTCAAGGTCAATGTGACAAGTCCTTGGACAAAACAAGTTTTACTCAGAGTCTCTCTCCACCCAGCAGTATAAATGGGTACCGGCAAATTGTAAAGGGATCCTGATGAAATGCTGGGGGGTAAACTTGCAATCGACAAGTATCCCATCCAGGAAGGGGGAGGGGGTATTGATAACCCTAGTTGCTTCATGCTAAGGAAACCTGGATGAGCTCCAGCCTGCTGGTTCACTCACTTCACCAACAGGAATAACCACAACCTTTTCACAATCGAGATATCTTGAAGTTTCAAAGTAAGATGCTAAACTTTTCTGGAAATCCTGACAGTGCACAGCAGAATATGGTAACGCAATGTTTGGCGATAAAGATGAGGTAATTCTCCACAAATACTACTACTTCTCAAAGCCAAGCAAGTTTCATTTACCTTTGCTTTCTTCATGGCATCCTCATACTTAGCATTAGCAGCATCTTCCTTCTTCTTTCGCCGAGCCTGAAACAACATGTGAAAATGTTGCTGTAAGTGCACTTGCCAAGGCCACCTGCAGGAGGACTATTTCAAGGGCCACACCCTGGCCAGGAATGACCAAATCCCGAACAACAAAGACAGGAGGAAGGCTCATGCAGAGTCTCCCTGAGCACAGTATTCTTTCAACTTCACATCTGTGTAAGAGACTACCATTCAAGGTTGCACCTCTACAGCCAGTTAATCCCTTAAAACCCTCAGAGTGACCAGCATCTAATTTCTCCTTACAATAATAGTGCTGATTGATTTATTAAGATTAGGAGAATTAATAAATGATTGCCAAACTACAAAGCTAGGATTGTTAAAAGAATTCTCCTCGTCAGTACCAAAGGAAATGTACAAAGAACAGTATGGAGAATATGCATACTGATGTTAGGGTGTCAAGGGTTAAGGGAGAGTGTTTCAGAGACTCAACTGAACAATCCAGTGCTACAACACCAATCCAAAGATGGACTGATGCCAACAACTTTAACCATGATAGAGTGCCGGAGGAAATGATCCCAAAGATAAGACATGAAGAAATAATTCACACTCACCTGCTGTCTCTGCTCTCTTGCCCTCTCTTTGGCAAGTCGCTTCTGTTCAGCCAGCATCCTCACTACAAACAATAAATAAGAAAATTGAAATCTTCTTGCTTTCAACCCATCAGAGTGACTAGCTTCTAATTTTCCCTTACAGTCTCTCCCTTGAATCAAATGTAACCGTTATATGGAATAATAGAAATAATCATCAATTTTGGAAGCTCTCGATTGTCAAAAAAATTCTCCTTGTCAATGCCATAAGAAATGTAAAGTGAACAGTGTGGAGTCTATGAATACCAATGTTGGGGTGTAAATGGTTAACACCAGAGATCAGAGGTATTCTCTATACTAACCCCTTTCCTTTTTAGCCTCTCGCGCTGCCAGCAGGGCTTCTCGTTTCATTGCCTTATTCCTAATTCTTGCTTCAGCTACAAGGAAATAAATGAAAACATTTCAGGCACAAGAATGAAGTTTCAATTCATAATCATTTGCTTCTCTGATATCACCAGATAATTACACTTCTAATAAGTTCAAAATAAAGCTATCCCATGTAAGGAGAACAACATCACTAGCAGTCTTTTTGCCATCATGACGCACACTTGACCTGGGATGAAAACACAACTGCTGTGTAGAACCTGAACCTTGATGTTCAGCAATTTAACTTTAACTGTCAAAAGTGATGACCAACAACCACCTAAATCCAGTGGTGAGTCGGTGATGTCCTATTACACCATCAGCTGCTGCTAATGGAAAAAATTTCATGAAACCCCTGTAACTACAGCATTCATAACATCAGTTTACGTTCGCAGAGGCAGTGCAATGCCACCAAATGATAAAGATGTGAATTGGATAAAAACCTCTCTCTCTTTTGGCCATCTTAACTGCTTCCTGAGCAGCTTGACGTTGACTTTTTTCAAGCCGTTTAACGGCAGCTGCTTTTTGGGCCATTTCTGAAATGAAATGGTCAAACATGGCCAAAAGGAAAATACAACATTAACAGGACAAGTGTGTCTTACAAACAGGTTCTGACTAACTGCTGAATCAGTTTAGTTCTAGATCTGTTTTATATAAGACACACTTGAGGGATTTAGATCAGTATAGAAATGCCATCACATTACACTGCTGATGGCATCTGCTGCTTACATGCTAAAGTACAATTTACTGTAATCATGTTTACAAGAATTTTTTTAATTTTGATCAGTTTTTTAAATATTGACATGATTTAGATGAGCCTAAAAGCTTGGTTAAAATTACAAGTATTAATCAACAAAGGCAGCAAGATCACATGTTCAAGACAGATTGAATTCAGTATGAAACAGCACCAAATTTCAGTTTCAAAAGACAATTCATTTTTCTCAAAATTCATTATTAACATGATTACAGTAAATTCAAATAGAACTGCTTCACACAGGTTGAGGTGGATCATAGTTTTCCCCAAATTCTTTCATCGTAAATTACCAATTCAGTCTCGTCAAATTTTTCTGTAAATTAGAGTCCAGCCCTTTGCCCCATTACACCCTAACCTGTGTTTCAGACAGTCCTATCAATGAGATTAACAACATTAGTCTTAAATAACCTCTTTCTCTCTTGGCCAGCTTAGCGGCATCCATAGCAGCTTGCCGTTGAGCCTTTCTTACAAGTTTAGCTTCAGCTGCCTTCTGCAACATCTCTGATCAAAATCAGATTGAAAATTGAAAGATTGAAATCACTTTCACTGAATCAAATTTTGAGTAAAACTCACACTTTGTCTTTTCTTTCTAGAAGCAGTCATAGAAGGTTTGGTAACAGCCACAAAAAAATTATTATCACATGGAATTATTTTGTAATTTTGAGGTACATATCTTCACCAAAACTTAGTTTTTTTTTTCAATTTTGCAAGAAAAAAATTTGGAGTGATCTAAGTCACTTGTTCATAACTTGTTTTAACCCTTAAACTCCTGGAAGGGATTGAAATGTAATTTCTCCCTATTATATCCACACATGATCCACCATACTAGACACAACATTATTTTACTTGTCAGGTAAAAGTTATCTTTATCCAACACCAAATTCTCATAACTTGTTTATAAGAAAATGTGATGTAGCTAGAGGAGAGAATTAGCCATCAAACCTTTGGAGTTAAAAGGTAAACCATGCGTGAAAATCCAAGACAACTCAATTTTTTACTCAGTCAGTTTAATGTTACAACTTCGTCATTTCACAGTGATACCAATCATAATATCATGAAAATAATAATTAAATAATCATTTTTATTTTTTATTTCTTTAATCATAACACTATGCTTTAATGTGTAGTATGATTACTTTTACATAATAATAAAAATAATAATAGAAATGATAAGAATTATTTTATGATAACATTTGTCCTTAAATATTCTAATACTGCTCCCAAACTTTGAAGTTTTCCCTTTCACAATTACTTATAAGCACAGTCAAACCTTGATTATCCAGACTGGTGGGGACTGCACTGAATAGTCCAGATAATTGAGAGTCCGAATACTCAAAGATAAGAATATCAATGTGCAAAAAATGAAACTGAATAACTTAAAAGAGAAAACAAGTCATTTAATAAATAACATGCATAAATTAAAGCATATCCTCAAATCATTGTGTAAAACTTCTCCAAATTCCCTGAAGGGAATGTGTGAGTGATATTAGCATTAATGATTCCCAAAAGTATTTGCAACAAGTGTAATTAAATCAAACCAAAAACATGAAAAAACTGGGACCAGGGAAAGGTAGCATGATTGAGGTCCAAATAAGAAAGGTTTGACTGTACTCTATATGAGTGAAACTATCAGAATACAATACCATCCACACCTCTTGCTTCAGGTTAAAAAAAAAATAATCCCTACCTGCTTGTTTTTGTTTCTTCTCTTGTTTCTTGTGGAGTTTTTCCATCTTAACTCTGTTCTTTTCATCTTCTGCCTGCTTCCTTCGTTTTACTTCCTCTTCTGTCAGAGGCTCAAACCCAGACCCCTGGTAAATAGACAAGAGAAATTCAGGCAAAACAGAATGAACAAGTACTCATCCTAGCAGACTTTTTCCATGAATCTATTGGCTGCAGGACTCCAGTAGCAAAATGATTTTACAAACCCATTATTACAAATGAATCATGTTTCATGACTAGCGACACCATACCTCTTTGCATTCCAAGAACTCTCCAATATGAAGTTTAGTGCTAAAGCTGAAATTGTCTGTGGTAACATCAGTGATACTATTCTTGTTAAGGTACTGGAAAAAAAAAAAAACAACACGTTTTCTCATATTAATGAGATGAACACTTTTGGCAAAATAGGTAGAGAGCATGAATTAACATTACACCTAAACCAAACAAAACTGCCAGGTTGACGTAATGTTCTGTTGAGTGTCAAAAGTAATAGTAATGCAAGACTCGGTAAGTTACCACTCACCCGTGTAACTTCGGGATATGTGCGGAGTTTCTTGCCACAAGGAGCAAAATAATAAACATCCCCTCTTAATCCACCAGCTGTTCCCACTTGTCGCAAGCGGGTCTGCCGTCTCCATCTAGAAATTCAAATCCAATTCAAAATATTTTCATAAAAACATTTACTTCCTCTCCATTACAATCTATCATAAATGCAAATGAAGTTTTCTTAACGTTAATTTAATTCAAATAGCAAAATAAATTGATGACAAAAATAAAATCAGCCCATTTTTACCCCTTGGCCAGAGGAATCTTGGCGTCTTCTTCACTAACTGCTCGACGCCTCTTTCTTGGAGTGCCTGCAAGTATCATATCAACCAACTCTGTTAAAAAAAGCTTATTTAGATCTTCAGAGTGAGGGGTTAAAAACTGGATAACTGTAGTAAAACAGTATTAAAATCAAGGAATTGGGAAAAAGAAACCTTCAAATAATCCATATCACAGTAACAGCATACAGTCACACCAGTGTATAATAAATTTAGAAGCAAGACGACTCTATTATTCAGGTGAGGATCATTCAAAAATCTTTCTTTTTTTCACTCTGTCCAACATGTTGATACAGAGATTTAAATTGCAATCACATTTAGAATTATTATCTCAATATTGGTCTCCTTGAAGTATTCTTGTATTCCATTTACTTGAAATTCATACAATAATATTGAACAGCTTTTGAAGGACATAATAACACTTTGTAATAAACTGCATACCCTTAAATTAACAATATTAAACATTAAAAAATTGAAAAAAAAACATTCACAAGCAAGTTATAGTTATTATTACTGCCAGAGTCTCAAATATCTATGTTAAGTATGTGTAAAGTCTGCCTTTGGTTAAAATTAGTTAACAGTCTTTGTTGTTGTTGTTGTTATTCTCATACAGAAATTCTGTTTGTCATAATATTAAAATAAGCAAACTAAAGACACAGTATTTAATTCCCTAAATTTCTATCACATTGAAAATGTTAAAGATTCAATCAGGAAGGAGGAATGTCCTTGGAATAGTTTTTATCTTGTTTACGTAATCATATTTTCTGGCCATTTTACATTTAAATAGCCAATCAAAGAAAAACAGATACTTGATAAACTATGATTCAAAAATGGGATGTGTAAAAAACCAATTTGACTTAAACAAAATAAGAATTATGTTTCTCGATACAATATATCAACACTTTCCCTGCCATATTTTAAGGGGGCATTAAAAATATCTTTATGTGACTTCTGATAGACTTCAAGATTCTCCTCTCATATTATCTCATACTCCCCTGGGCCACAAGGAGAGTTAGTTGTTGCATCATAAGTCACTCAGAATTTCACATGTACTTTCTCAACTCTAATAACTAATGTCTGAACACATTCTTAAAATAATAATTTATCTTACAGCACAAAAGGACAAAATAGAAAAAAAAGGGAAAAAGGAAAAAAAAGTTAACTATACCTGAACTGCTCTGATCTGCTTTCCTTTTGTGCGAAGAGGAATCTTCAAAAGATGCCCCACTTTCCTGGGTATCCATAGCAACATCATCATCATCTTCCTCATCTTCATCGTCATCATGTTGTTCACCCCCTTCCTCTTCCTCATCACTGCCGTCAGTGTCAGTGTCACTGCCACTGCTATCTTCCTCATTCTCACCATCCTCACCTTCATCACTGTCGTCTTCACTACCACTCCCACTATCACTGCCGCTACTAACATTGCTACTGTCACTATCATCATCACTGCTATCCTTATCAAACTTCACGTCACGGAACTGCGCAATTAAAGGAGGTTTACCTGATGGAATCTTTGGTTGCTTAGGGGGAGTAACAGATGAAGACTTCTGAGTACCAGATGCACCTTTTAACACACTCTGTATTTTGTGCTCAGAAGATGCAGCTTTCAACTTTTTTTCTGCATGATCACTCGGGGCTATATTCTGTGCTACTTCTGCTTTGGACTGCTTGGGTTTAGCATTTGCCGAGGTTGTACTTCCCTTTTTGCTTGGCTTCAACATTTCCTCTCTGAGCAGGGCTTGAATGTCTTTTCCGGCTTTAACTTGTGGTTCCGGGTTTGTAGGAACAATCCCTTCTGTTTTGTTTAAAATAGATTGTGGTACTTGCAAGCGTGGGGGAGGACCTGATTTAACCTTCTGCTGCTTTGGAGGAGTTGGCATACCTTTGCTAGGTTCAGTGACTGATGTAGCACTAGGAGATTTGTGATTTTCATCAACAACTCTAGGAACTGATTTAGCATCATTACTTTTTAAAGGCAAGTTACTTTGCTGAGTTGGAATGTTGCTAACATCACTATGTCGAGGGAGATCCAATTGTCTTTGACTGCATGAGCTGTTGCTTTCACTGCTTGAATTTGACTGCATCAAATTTTCAGATCTTGCATCTGAATTTTCAGAAAAGCTGTTGCTGGTTTTTGTCCGTTCAACTTTTGTATCCTTTGTTCTTTCTTTGTGAAGTAATGTTGTATCACCAGGTCGTACATCACTGTCTCTATTATTTCCTTCTTCACTGCAATTGCTCGATTTCCTGTTCAAACGTGGAATCATATCTAGATCACGACTTTCGCCCAAGTCAAGAAGACCCTTACCATCATGGTTGCCATGGCTACTCCAATGAGATAATCCACTTTTTGATGTGCTTGTAGTAGGACTTGCCTGATGTACAAAACCGTGCATGGATTGTGGACTTGATGGAGGAGGGTAAAAAATTCCTGATCCACTTCCAAACACTCCAGAGGAATTCACCCCATTCATTAGAGAGTTCCTTGACCTGGAAGATTGATACAGACATTCCTCTAGTCTCTCATGATTGGCCATTGCACAGTCGTGCTCATGAGAAAGCCAACTTCCTCCAAGATGACTGGTGAAGTACTCTGGTGTGATTCCATGCGCACGTGGATGGGGAGGCAACCACCAGCCGGTACCCCCTGTGCTACTGAGTGACCCATGCAATCCTCCAGGGGACGTCAAGCTGCTCTGAGAACCGAGAATGGGGTCTAAAGGGCCTCTGAAGTCTGGTAATCCTGGTCTTCTGCCCATCATAGGAAATGCACTAGGATGCATTCCATAAGTGGGATCGTGGGACAATGGAGGTGAGCGAAGTACTGTGTTAGCATGGCCTGAAAACAAAAGCTTAAAACAGTTAACGACCAGCTTGCATCGCGGCTGAACTATGGAAACTTAACCAACAATTAGGTTAACTGCAAGGGTGGTTATCTTCGAAGTAGGATCTTAAACAAACGAAAACGAAATCTCACCGACAATTGTTTTAAGACGGCGAAGTACCGGCAGGGAAAAAAAACGTTTAAACAAAACGATGTTAAACTCAACGCTCACCTGGATTGCCGTCGAAAAAGCTATGTGTATGTGCGGGACTGTGATTTGGGACGTCTCTAGGATCCATTCCAGGACAGCGAGGTATTTCGAACTCGCAGCTATGCCTGGGGATTAGAAATGACGATGTCAACGAACGAAACAATAGCTTAACTAGATATGTAGGTGACCACGAAATGCGTGCAAACGATGACTGAAGAATATCGAGCAATGAGAGACGTATTATGCGTAGTTAATACCTATGTTTATTTACAACTGTTAGAAAAACTATTTCAGAGTATTATTCCGTCGACCAAAGTTGAAAAAGCTGATGAAAAAGCTAGCAAAAGCGATTTGCTTCGCCGAGTAATTCCCCGCCCTGAATTTAACGACAAAATTACAACGAAGTACGCAGAGGAAAGTTACAAACTATTTGATCAGGATAGGAAGCCTGGAAATACATTAAAATCGAGTTCTTACCGGCAAAAGTCGTTCTTGATTTGCTTCCAATCTTTTCTTGAACTTTAAGCCTGTCCTCTACGCATCATCTGGCCTTCGTCGAATTAAGACAAAAACAGCCATTTTGGATGGCGTTTGGAGGGAATTTTAACTCTCGAAAGCTTAGGAAACCTGCAAAAGCGAGCTCTGGAAAAGCTGCAACACGTGAGCGAAGCGAGTTTATGAACAACTACAGAGTCTCTGAAGTTTCCAGTACTATTGGGTATTGAAAAAAGCGGCGAAACTTGGAATGAACGTGAAAATTTACCTTTTAGGGTTGTTTGGTGCGATATTGAGGAAAGAAGGGCGAAGGAAAGCATAAGGCGCATGTGGTACGTGACGTCACAGAATTGTAAAACAATGCCTCGTGAAATAATCAAAAGTAAACTGACTCGCTACGCCACGAGTTACGGTGAAGAATTACCACTTTCATCTCATTACTCCTCCCCCCAAATTCTCGCCAGTTGGCGACCGGAAAAGCTTCATAGACAACAATTTTCCTTCTTGAGAATTCTCAAAGGTTATCTGCTCGGATCACGAACCAAAAGCTGGCCTGACCGAGAAAAAATTTCGTCTTGAAATTCGCCGGTTGGTAAAAATGGCCCTAAAGGAAAACCCGTGGCTGTGCTCTATGTAAATTTAGCAAAACTTAGTATTTTTAAAGTTTCAAGACTTTCCCAGTGATTTTTTGCCTGGATTTGGTGACGCGAGTAGGACGATTTCGATTCGTAATGGTTGCATCGGTTTCAGAGCTTTCCTCGTTGTTTGAGGAACTTGAAAAAAACGCACTACAGATCGAGTGGTTTTGCCCGCTATAGTTGGTCTAAAAATACACTAGATCACAGTGTGATAGACTGAGCAAACCAGTACTGAAATAGTCCTAATATATGGCACAGTATTTCGAACAGCTATACACGGCGAATCCAAGAGAAATACAATCAAATTTTAAATGAAATACCCGAAGATTAGGAACTTAGAAGCGAGACGGGAAAATCAAGTAGTGTGATTGTCACAAATCTCAAATTACCTCAGGAAATATTGTCGCTTCACGCTTCTGGAACTCAAGGTTAGCTCTTTTCCATCGAAATTAAAGGGACAAAACGTGTAAGAATTTAAAAATGCAGCTTTTTCATTATTTAAACATTATAGTCAGGTAGGGTTTTATATGGGGAATTTATTTCCTTTCGCTGACACGAATTTAACTGGAATAGTGTATAAACAGTAACAATAATTTGAGGAGGCTATTTATAACGATTGACGATTTGAGGAGAGAGAGATCGCCGAGCGCCACGCGAAAAGAGTTTTTCGACCACTAATTATGGCGCGCATAACTGGTTACGCGAGATGTAAAGTTGATTTATGTAAAACACTCAAGAACATGAATTCTCTCAGGGATGTAAAAATATTACGAACTCGCGAGCCGCGAGCCCGTGTTAAATAACAGAGTCATTACCCGTAAATCTATTGAAATCTCGCTCGCTGATTGGCCAGAATTCAATACACATATTTGCATTTTGTGCACTTCGTTCGTCATGTGTCAAAACTAGACAAAAAGAAAACCCAAACAATGCACTTAATTGGAGCAACGTCCATCTCGGCTTTACAGCAGTAAAGCGTTCAGTAAACCGGGAGTCAGAGTCTCTCAGAAACCGACTGAAAGGGATTACACGACTTATCCAGAAATTCAAATTTCTCGTGGGTTCTACTCGAAACTTACGCGCGATGTAGGAAATAATCGAATGATCGATCGAGAAGCTAAAATTACTAGAACTTAGTCTTAGGAATTTTGGACGAGATCAAGAACTAAACAGAAATTTTCGAAATTGTAATTATCTTATGAATTGTTATTTTTTATTTCATGTTTTTCGAATGCTTTATAATTCAATGTTAGAGGCTGCAAAACTTCATTCAAATTTTTTTTCAGCGCGGCTGATCAACTCAATTTGCCTTAAAATTGCAGAACAAGATGATACCGAACGCTTTCACGAAAGAAGCGATCAAAAATTTTAGATTCTTTACTTCAGCCGAGAAGAGAGGCATTATAGCAAGCAGAGTCAAATCAATCAAACTTTCAAGTTCAACATTTTTAGGCTGATAAGAATAATGCAGAAAATTCTAGAGCAAATTTATGGATCCTCGAGTCAGTGTTGCACCTCCTGGAGATTTTGAATCTAGCAGGAAAATGACTGTCTTATCTAAGTGATTCAAAACCATTCTTTTCTTTTCTTTTCTTTTTTTTTTTTTTTTTTGCTTTTTCTTTTAATTCCTCCCCGACCAACAAGTGGCGTCTTTGTAATCATTTCCGGTTTGGTCAGGTGTTCTCAGTAACACGACTTTAACCAATTCAAGGCTGCTTTGTTCGCCGCTTAACAGTCACAACAAAAGAATGTTTATTTAGGCATGGCGGTGGATTAGAGTTTTATTATGTTATTTCAAGTTTTAATCAACTACAATTAAAGATTTCGCTGTATAAATCTTGGTTTGTAACGATGTAAATCTGGTTCTTTAAACAGTTCAACGAATGTTGCTTCGCGGAGGCCCTCTTTTGGCGATCACGATCTTGCGAGATTATCGTGTTTGAAGCCTAAACTATTTAACACTCCATGAGAAAGAAAGATTTCCGGTTTAAGATGGCTGTCTTGCACGCGACAAATCACTGAAGAGGATCTGAGACGACAAATATAAATCTCGAGTGTATAAAGCTTCCAGTTTCAGCGAGTAAGGGAGAAAAGGCTAAGAGCAAAGCGCAAAACGGAAAGGGAAGCTTAAATTAAAACCCCTAACCACTTCGCGGTGGAGGTCTACCTTTGGTAATCAATTACGCATGCGCAGAGTTGACTGGTTGGACAATCAGCCTACGCACTAAAGTGTAAGCTCGGAGTGGGGTTTATAAATTGACAAATTCATATAATCATCGATTAGATTTTCACTGAAAGTTAACGAAGCTGGCCCGAGATTGGTAAAAGCACGAGTTGAAAACTCTTTGATTAAAACGCGAGTTGCGTGCGAGGGGAGGAGCTCCTCTACTTGCGAGTGACTCGCGCTTGCCTCTGTTCCCCGGAACAACGCAAAAAAGTTACGCCTGTTCCGCACGCTGTATGTTCTGGACTCAACTTTAATGAGACTGCAAGCGATCAGATACCTCTTAAGATATACGAGGAGCATGTAAATCAGCCAATTAAATTTTTTTTTTGTTATTTGCCTTTCCTTGCTTCGCTCTTTTAGGTTGAAAAATTGTTGGCCTGTAAGGTGCTCGCGTGCTCTGTTACTCCTGGTCTTATGTGTGACTTATGCATCACGTGTCCACGTTAGCAACATCAATCAAAACAATAACAATTTTAAAAAAAGGAAAAGTAATTAAAGTTTCATTCTGAATGGGAAATATGAATCATAAGTCCTTGCTGTGTTTGGTGCCACTCTGTCTCGTACGTTTGTAGCGGTGAAAAAAATTTTATCCAAGAGTCCGTCATGACTGA